TTTGTTGGTCCTTATGACAAAATAAACCTGCAACCGACCAGAAGTTTTTCGCGCGTGCAAAGAAACATATAATCGCCAAGGAACCCATGTCCCTATTGATCATTGAGGCCCTCAAAGCCACGTCCACTTAAGCACCCTCTACTTATCATTAGGAAAATAGTGATTAATCTAGAATAATTTTGAACTTTTTAAAGAACACTTCAACTTTTAAAAACGTTCTTAGGGTGCTTACTTAAAACTCTTTCTTATGTTTGCTGAAAACTTTTTTTTTTTGTTTGCTTTACTTAACTACTTTTCTCATTTGAAACTTAAGTATTTATGGGAACGCTATTCCCATCTGCTGACCTTACTGCTTTCTGAACTATTTAAAAAAAAAAACCTCATTCATGTATACTTGAAATGTTTTGAAAAACAACTAAATGGTGTATCAAACCAAGTTCTCAAAACAAGTTCTGAAAGCATTAATCTTAAGAGTTTTAGTGGAAGCATAAACAATCAAAAGCACGACTTGACTACCATCTCCCCTTGTGTCCGACGCCTGCCGCTTAACTGAAAATGATAATTATTGGGGGGGGGAGGGGGGGCTGAGAAAAACAACTGGCTCACCGTGGTAACCATACTATACGATTATTCAATATAAAAATAGATATCATAACATAAGCATGAAACATGAATAAACTGGCAGATGTTGCTGCTGTATATACGAGATGCTACTCGTACTACAGGATTACAATATGCTGATCGACCATGCCTTGAGTGTAGATCATGTGTGCACACCCCAACGGGAATTACGATACGTTGATCAACCGCACACCAGGTGATCATATTGAAATGCCCACGCTAAGGCAATATACTAGCATACATACCTCAATTATAATAACTTGCATTTGTAAGGAATAAGGTTTAGCATGGAAGCATTCCAACCTTTACTGCTGATGTTAAATGAATGAAATGATATGCACGTGATCTTCATAAGGTCTTGACTCCTCTTGATCTATAATTTAATTATTTATTTCATATTAAGGGTTTTGATTAACAAGCAGATTAAGCTGAACACTTAAGATAAACTAATGCAAGAAGAGATAAATTAGATAAACAAAATAATTAACTCTTCTAACTCTTACTCTCAATTTTTCTAGGCTTTTCTGAAGTTATCGGATAATTTTTAAGGCTCAGAAGACTCTAAATTTTAACCGTTCGAACCAACCGGTCCGCGCACGGTCAGACCCGGTTCTGCTCACTGGGTCACTGGGGTCGACCGGGTGCTGCCGCTGCCCAACTTGGTGTTGGCCCTGCTCTGGCCCTGGGTGAAATCGTGCTAGCCCCTGGTCACACGTAAGTACTAGGTCTCAGGTGCTAGGCACGGGCAGCCTGCAGGAACGCGCACGGGCACTACGGACAATATTCGGAGACCAGTTCAAGGAGTGAATCATGCTATTCAGGATTGAAACTCTTTGGGGTTATTGTAGGGGGCGCATGGGGGCTGAGACACGGAGTGCATGGTGCTACAGCGATGGCGCGAGGGTGCTGCGCATAGGATGTACGAGCGTTGTGGAACGCGGCGCGTGGGCGCTGCAGGATCGCTGGCGTACAAGCGCGCACGATCGTCTGCGCAAATGGGTGCGGGGAATTGGGGACGATGTGCAGGTGTTTGCGGAGTGTGCGGCATGCTGCGCGCAAGGGTGTGGGCACTGGCGAAATGAATTACTAGGGTCATGGCTCGCACGGCCTACTACGTTTTCTGCGGGCTGTGCTATTATCTGGCCATTTTTGCCGGTCACTGGCAACTTTTAGGGCTAATGAAAGCTTATACCCTAGGGGTTCTAACCACGGCTAGGGCTAGAGAAAAGGGCATCTATACCAAGGTATAAGGATCCTCCATTTTTAACCCATTTATCCTTAATGTCTATTAAAACAAGAAGGCCAAACAAACTGAACATAAATCTCTGAAACTTACACAAATTCAGCACATAAAAAGGCATTTAACAAGACTCAGCATGTTCAACTTTATCGAGGCCAAAACATAACACAACAAGTCTCTTTAATCTTCTTTACAACTTAACAATTTAAAGCATACTTTTAAAAGACTTATAAACCTTTGAAATTAACAAGTTTCGAAGCATGAAAAAAATCCCAATAATATGGCTTAAATGGCTCAGCATGCTCCCATAAAAACAAGGGAATTAAAACACAAAACATGCTTCACTAGGCTCTTAAACTTTGATAAAATTTAGCATGCTTTTCAACCTCTTAACAACTGAAACTAAGCATCAAACTCAGCATGAATTCGACATGTTTCGGCATAAAAAACAACATAGCAGCATGCTCTTCAAACTCAAGACAAATAAGGCCACCACATCTCATAGCATGCTTCAATCTCCTTAAAATCTTATTGAATCTACCATGCAATAAAACCTTAATAAAAACTAAATTCTATGCTAAAGTACTCAGCCAAAATAATACTAGAAAGGCTCAACCTAATACCTTTCTTCAGGAATGAAAAAAATGGGAAGAAAAGGCTTGGGTCTCGGCTAGGTGTTGCTTGGCTTCACGGCTGTGAGGCTTTCAAGTTTGGCTCGTCTCTAAGGTGCTTAAATGGTGCTACACTTATTCTTGGACGTAGTTACTTGCGTCTCCCCGAGATTGCTCAAGGCCGCCTGTGTTGGTGCTACTTGTGTGTGCACGCTACGCGGTCTCCTCGGCGACGCCTGGATGCTTGCTCGGGGAATGGCTCAGCTGGGAGGCTTTTTGGTGCGGTGTTGGGATTACTTTTGCTAAAATTTGTGAACTTCATGAGAGGTAAAATAAAGGTGGAGGATGGTTTAATTGTTTCTTAAATAGGTGTCTATAAGGGCTGCCATTTAGAAAGGAGTGAGGGGGAAGTGTGTCCTCGTTTTTGGGGTAGTTTTTGAAGACAAAGTTTAGGGCTTCCTTGTGTATTCTTGCTGGCGGCTGATAGTGTGGAGTGGGGCTGTATCTGGCTGCTGTTTAGGAGCTTTCTGGCCAAGATATAAGGGAAGGCAGTTAGGGTAGAGGTGATCGGGTCTTGTGCTGCTAAGGCGTGCTTGGAGGCTTGCTTGGAGGGGTCGAGATCAAAGGCACAAAAGGCCGACCTGACTTGAATTCTCTTGGGTTAAGATTTTATGGCTAGTTTAGCAATACCTAGGCACAATTAGGCATAAGGTGACTTAGTCTAGGCTTGCCTAGTCTTGGGTCAAAGCAACTTAAACACTTAATACATTTATGCACAAAACACACTTAGGCACGAAAATTTAAATTGATCACTTAGCAAAATTAGGTAAATAAATTTTGATAAACAACAATACAATAACAAACAAGAATTAAGAAGATGAGGACATCATCTTATTCTAATCTTTTTGAGTGGTTAATTAGTTACAAAAATCATATAGACGAAGATATCTACTTAATTCTCATTTGATTGAAGGATTTATATTAAAAACCAAGATTAAAACATAGTCGAACTTATGTAATAAAATGCAAACATGCTTATGCTAAATAAACTAAATTCGAGAACGTCGAATGAAGCTCGACTTCTATTTTCGAGCAGTATCGCCCTTGCTATGGCGAAATCAGTGAATCATTTCAAGAGATACCTCTCTGTTCCTCAAACTAATATGCTTTATGGCCCAAGACGGTTGAGGCACCTTTTCCTATGTCAGGTTCTGCCTGATATGCTTCTCAAACGAAGGTCACCACGTACTCAAGGTTGAGTACATAATTCCTCAACATCGAGAGGTGGAAACCCTATGCACTCCCAACTGCAGGTTTAGCTGTCGGGCAGGGGGGAAGGTGCTCTTGTGGTAAAGACAAAACGATAGGCTAGGTCACCGACTAGGCTAAAAGTTGAAGATGACTGAAGAAACTAAGTTGTTTTTTTCTCTTCTTTTCAAAATAAATCCCACCCTTTATGGATCACTACAAGAAATCTGTCGAACAGTGACGAAAATTCATGTGACGAAAAATAAATCGTCACCGTATGTTGCCTTACGGTGACGAATTTAATAAATCGTCATTACACCATTGCATACGACGACGACTCCTATATTCGTCACGTTTGATCTCTTTTTTCGTCACATAATGGAGTTTTTCGTGACAATGCAACTCAATTCGTCACATATACATTTAAATTCGTCACATGTATATAAAATGTGACGAAATTAAATGTGACAATCAAACTATCGTCACTGTTGCTGTTATTTAAAATGACACTTGCGACAAATTCGTCATTATATAATTATTTATTGTGACGATACATTATAATACATCTAAATTCGTCACAGTAATACGTATTGTGACGAAATTCACTACGACGAAAACAAATTCGTTGTTTTTCTTCGTATTTGAAATGACGCTTGCAAAAAGTTCGTCATTATATAATTTTGTTTTGTGACGATAAACTATACAACAACTAAATTCGTCATATTAATACATATTATGACGAAAGTCACTGTGACGAATCAAAATCGTTGTGTTTTTTTTTTTGTGTAAAAAATGACGCATATGTATAATTCGTCATCATACAAATTTCATTTGTGACAATATGGTATAATGCATCTATATTCGTCACAATATTACATATCGTGACGAAATTCACTGTGACGATAAAAATCGTTGATTTTTATTTGTATTTAAAATGACGCTCACGTATAATTCGTCATTATATAACTTTGCTTTGTGACAAATTTGTGTCAAAAGTGGTTTAGTAACAATCACAAAATTTATATTCGTCATTAAAACATGCCCTTTTATAACGTCTTCGACTTTTGTCACTAATATCTTATATTGTGTTACGACATCATTTGTCATTAAAATATGCCCTTTTACTCGAGAAATGAATGACAAACATAAAAAAGAAAAGCAAGATCGAATTCAATTTCTACAACTCAAGTCAAATAAAAGTAGGTTCTTGCACAAGAATCATCAACAGAAACTAGAAAACAAGAGATCTACTCATAATGCATAAGCATGAGAAATACAAGAACTTGCTCCTTAACACCCAAGAAGTTATCATAATAACATGAATAGCCTGCAGCTACACCTAAGAGAGAGTTAAAAAAAAAATACAATAAAAGGATAATCCTTGATAAGCAAAACATTCTACGTTAACTAGAACAATCCTCTTCATCCTCTCTCCTTTTTCTTACAGTGATAGTAGCAATATACTTTGGCTCTTCCCATATACTTTTATCAAACAAGGACAAAAGGAAAAAAAGAAAAAAGGTTCTCCATGACCTCAAGCACAAACTATATTTACTAAGATTTGAGAATTAGATACCCTTCTCCCACAACATGAACTTGATTGTCAATCATCATCTTGTTTACAAACAAATGAACCTTATCCCTTGCTCGAACACTCGACTGTAAATTACAAGTTTCAGATGAAACCCAAGAAGGACTGTAATCATGAAATGAGTTCTCTGGATTTAGATCTCCTGATAGCCCTGAACATGATGGTTTCGTAGTAACATCCTTCCCATATTAAAAGCCTGCAAAAGAAAATCACGCTGAAATCTCGGATTCGACATTATCGAATCTTTTTTAGAGTAAAGGTAACAATAATAGTAATTAAGAGAAAGAGGTACAAAAGGGATGCAACCAAGAAGTACAACATAAGTATTCAACATATATTCAGAGGAAATCTATCACATTTGAAAGGGTTTCATCATCTGGAAACAACTCCAATACTTCTACTGAGATTTTTAAAGACAAATAAAAACTGACCCACAATAAAACTCCAAATTCAAAGTAAGTGAAAGCTTCACTTATCAAATCATGGAGCGAAGGAGGCAAAGACAACCATATCCAGTAAATCTGTAACTTATCAAACATATATTGTTAAAAGACAAATTAGGGAACTTTAACCATATATTGTCAGATGATTAATCATATAATTACAGATCAAAGGAGCAACAATACTCTAAATTAGTCAAAATCTAAAGAAATTTTCACAAAAATATATAAAAAAGCAATTCAACTGAAAATTTTCATCTTCTTGGAAACATTGGGCGGTTTCAAAAAAAAAAATCTCCAAAAGAAATGCTAGGATTAAAGTCATGTGTTCCACTTTTCCCTTATCAACCTTAATTAAACTTTTAAAGGGCAAGCAAAAACAACAAACCAAAAAGGCGAATTCTAAGGGTAAATAAAGATAATAATTTTCTCTCAATTACTCAAAATGGAGGTTCATTATAAACACTCACTTGGGGTTTTGGCAGCCAATCTTCCAGAAAACAGCATAAGACCAATGATTAACCCCACAAAGAGTCTTCAGAGCTTCTTTCAGCAAGTAACCCATTGCAGAAAAAAACAATGCCCCCAGAAAATGAACCATCTCTAAAAACCAGATTTTTATTCTGTGAAATGTGAATAAGGATAGAGGTAATGTAATTGTCACAGGACAATCTGTTGAAACCTTAAGCGGTTCATGGATCCAGCAGGCTTCCTAAGGGTGGGGATTAACTGAACCATAAAGGTAAACCTGCGGTCATCACTAAGGCACTACTTAATGATGAACTCTTCATCGAAAGCATTAACACCACAAGTTCGTTTAAGTCTTAATGATGAGATATATAAACCAAAATAGAGTTCCGCATGTGACATAAGGATATGAGTGCCCGAGAGTTTACACTATATACGAGACATTGTAAATGAATTCAGAAAAATTTAGATAAGAAAAGTATTACCGCTCGTTGGTGCCTTTTCCCGGAGGCTTGTAAAAACTCTCACTGACAAATAAGAAATGTTAAAACTTTAGAGAATCAATAGGCAAGATGCATACGCCAACATAAGAGAGCATATAAACTTACCCATGGAACCACCAAAATTCATGAACGAAGTTATAAAGCTAAGCTCTCCTGTACTTTTGTTCTGCTCAAACAAAAATTAATATCATTAAAGTAGAGAATTACAGTGTACCATGTTTCGTGAAAATACATAGTTGTGCCATAATATAATCTGGTTTTGACCTTAGATAACATATTTATAGTTCTCAAATTTGGTACTGGTTTTGACCTTAGATAACATATTTATAATTCTCAAATTTGTACCAAAGTGTTTTGTTTGGTGTGTGGTAGCGTGCTTGATGACTGATCTGTACTTTGAGGAAACCTATTTTTCCCTCAGTAGTATAAAATTTTCAATTGCACATTTTGAACTAATATAAGATCCCACATTTGGTCACTCTAAAACTCATGCAAAGATAGATCTTCAGCCGCACAAAATACACAGGTTCCCTCATTGAGCTAGGAAAAAGAAATGTAATTATGATAACCAACATATAAGAGCATCAACTCAATTAAACTACATTCCTTACTTTAAAATTTTCCCAAATTTGTGGAATCCTTGCACAGAAAAAAACTGCATGCCGGGAAGCCTGTAGAGAATAATCAACGAATAATGATTGATTTGTTCCGACAAATATATCTATGGAAGTTAGTAGGGGGTTGGGGTTGGTTGACGCAGAGATAAGAGAACAAAAATGATGGAATAAAGGCAAAGCATCTAAGAAATATATTAACTCACATATAGAGCTTCAAAAAGAAGGGGATCAATTTGACCAGCTAAGACCGTTGGTGCTAGAGCACAATATCTATGTTAACTTGTTTAGGAAACGCAAACATCAAATCCAATATGCAACTAATGGTTAAAAAGAAGAAAAATAATAACTTAGAAATTTTTTATACAGATTGCATGCTCCAATATGTGCTTGCTCAAGATAAGCAAAGTTACACAAAATATCATGCTCCAAGGATACAGTAAATCCATGTCTTAGTTCCAAGGGGTTGAGCATAATAGTAGATGATTGCTATAAGAAGTATTGCTGCAACAATAAGAGGAACAGTGTATTAGAGAAATTAATTTGACGGATATCTCAATCAAAGCAACTTAAAGCCTAAATAATGTTTTTCACAAGAAACATTTTCCAGCGTATATTTCTAAACTTTATTTGGACACAAAAGAACAACTATGAACTATTCACGCCTATATCAATTTTACTGCCATTCTTTTCTACATGCACTTGTTAACCCATATCTTTGTTCTCTGTTCCACACTTTGTTACACTTAAATTCTCATACATGATTATCCAATGTAGATTACTGTTAATATATGTGCAGGAGCTCTGATATGTAGAGTAAGATAATAGTTCTAAGTTAACTTGTAGGCTGCAAAGGATCTCTGTGATATTGAAATTCTGCAATTAAAAAAAAAACTGTAACTGAAGATAAAAATGAAGAAATAATATTGGACCAACCCATAGTTTCTTACACAAAGAAATATTTTTATCCTGTGAAATTACAAATGACCCCATTTTCAGCACCGTAAAATATTAAAAGAAAAAGACATAAGCAAAACATAATGCATCACCAAATTGCCATTAATTTAAAGCATAACACTAAAAACTTGTTCATAAACATTAATTTTTGAAACAAAAGGAGTTAATAATGAGCTCACTGCTCTCCTTTTTTCAGAACAAAACAGCAAACAAAAAAACAAAAATTATGGCCAAAATAATCGAAACTTGCAATAAATTAAATTTTTAGATTACCAGCCATCATATTTTTCACTCCCTTGTCGGTAAAAATTTATTGGACTGGAAACACTCGAAGCTCTCACCCCGAATTTTTGTGCCTGCATAGAAACATTACGCATCATCAAAAGACGAGCAACAGAGCACAGGATAACACATAAAAATATAGGAATAGATATTCGAATGATCAATCATTAATCTCACAAGTCACAACCATACCAGTCAATGTCGTCATCACTATCAGACGTGTTGCTTTTTTCAGAGTCTTCTACACTACTACAATAGTCGACCAAGGTGTCATCGGGCTCATCTTCTTCAATGACATCTTCTATGTTTACGAGCTCTGCAATATCCGGTAGTGTTTCTATCATTGATTCCTCAATATCTTGAGAATCCACGTCATTCCTACCTAGTGATTCTAACTCATCAACACTAACTTCAAGTGCATCATTTGCTTCATTCTCTTGGTATGCCCCATCTTCCACAGAAAACAAATCATTAGGGCCTATTTCATCATCTGGCATCTCATCAACATCATAGACATGCCTATGCTGGAATGGTTGCACTACTCGCCAGTCACTTCCTAATTTAGGATCACTAATGTAGAAAACTTGTCTAGCTTGATTAGCTAATATGTAAGGGTCGTTCTCATACCATCTTTTGGTAATCCGAACACTCACAATATTGCCCTCTTTTTGTAACCCTTTTTGTTTTTTACCCCCAAGATCAAACCATTCACATTTGAATATGGTAATATGCCTATCTTTCACATAGTCAAGCTGAATTATATCAGATACAACACCATAAAATTCAATTGTATCTTCACCGTGGTTACCCTCCACAGATATACCGCTATTTTGGGTATTACGACGACTATCACGGTCTTTCGTTAGAAATCTTACTCCATTGACAATACATCCAGCGTACTTCCTAACACATTTGCTTGGGGCACATGCAAGTGAATACAAAGCTTCATTGGCTTCGTCTGGATTCTCATGATACGAATGGGTCATCTGAATAAGATAAAATATCAACTATAAATAACAATTTAATTAAAATGAAAAGAATGAGAAAAGATAAAAAGATGAAATATTTTGTATTTGCAAGGCCTTTACATGTTTTCTGAACCACGAAGGAAATTTTTCTCTATGCTCTTGGTTTATGTTTTCACAACCAGCTAATAATAGCTCTTGTTTGTGCTTCCTGCATTGAATATAGTTATTTAAGAAAAAAAAAGTGTAATAATATTGTATGTATATGTAAAATATAATTTTATGCTTACTCAATATAAGGTTGAACCTCTTCACAATTCTGAAAGACAAACCATTGTACCGTGTCAAACTCTTCTTTTGATAACTCAACAAGTGTTGTTGCTCCAAAGGGGCGACATTTTGCAGAAAAGATTGATAGACTATCATCAACTGTTACATCACAATTTCTATCATCTCTGTTAAATCTAGTCTCAATTCCCCGCAAGTACATGGAGCAAAAAGTTAACGACTCCTTTGCAATGTATGTTTCTGCAATGGATCCTTCCGGATGAGCTTTATTAGTTACACCTTGCTTCAAGTCGCCCAAAAATCTAAAAAAAAAAACAATATTATTAAAAACATTCCCAAGAAGAAGTTATAAATAAGAAGCTCACAGTTTAATATGAATTACCGTTCAATTGGAAACATCCATCTAAATTGAACTGGGCCACCTATCAATGCCTCATTCGGCAAATGGATTGACAAGTGAACCATGACGTCAAAGAATGCAGGAGGGTATATCTTCTCTAGTTTGCACAATATCAAACAAATATCATCTCTCATTTTTTCCAATTCTGTTTTTTTCAACTTCCTACAGCATATGCGTTGAAAGAAACTGCCTAATTCAGCCAATACCTCGCATACTTCTTTATTTAAGGACCCACGAATCCCAACAGGAAGTATTCGTTGTAAGAGAATATGGCAATCATGACTCTTTAATCCCGATATCTTTTGATCACTTGAACTTATACAACGAGAGATGTTGGATGCATAGCCATCAGGAAACTTGACAGACTTTAGGAATTCACAAAAGTCACGTCTTTCTTTCTTTTTCATTACATAACAAGCAGCTGGCATCACATGTTTTCCATCACCTAAATTGATCAAGTGCAACTCTTTGCGAATTTTCATGTCCTCCAAATCTCGCCTGGCATTAAGTGTATCTTTTGTTTTCCCTTCTGCACTCATCAAGGTTCCTAAGATGCTCTCACATATATTTTTTTCAATGTGCATTACATCTAAATTGTGCCTTAATTTCAACTTACTCCAATAAGGCAAATCAAAGAAAATGCTGCGTTTAGTCCAATTTAACTCTTCGGGGTGTCGCTTCCTTTTTTTGTTGGCATGCTTCCCTGGAATTACGTTTTGTAATCCTCGTAGCTGCATTAACACATCCTCCCCACTTAAATCTCGAGGTGCCTCATTATCTTCTCTTTTTCCATCAAACTTCTTACTTCTCCTCCAAGGATGACCTCTCGGTAAGTAGCGTCGATGCCCCATGTAACATATCTTATTACGCAATCTCAAAGAATGTGTCTTCTCATTGCACGTGGGACAGGCCATGTAACCTTTTGTGCTCCACCCAGACAGATCCCCATATGCTGGAAAATCGTTTATTGTCCACAAAACAGCAGCATGTAAATTGAAAGTTTCTTTACGACGAACATCAAAGGTTTGTGCACCATCAACCCATAATGTTTTCAGCTCTTGAATCAATGGTTGTAGGTAGACATCAATGTCTTTTCCAGGTGACTTCTTCCCAGGAATAAGCAAAGACAACATAAAGAACGGTTGTTTCATGCAATCCCATGGAGGGAGATTTAATGGAGCAAGAACTACCGGCCACATGCTGTAAGTGGTACTTAAGTTTCCAAATGGATTAAAACCATCTGCAGCCAAAGCAAGTCGAACATTTCTAGGATCTTTTGCAAACCAAGAAAACTCACTATCAAAATCTTTCCATGCAAGGGAGTCCGCAGGATGCCTCATATAGTCATCATCAATGCGTTTCTCTTTATGCCACACCATTTTCTTTGATACTTTCTCAGACATGAAAAGGCGCTGGAGTCTGGGTTTCAAAGGAAAATACCTTAAAATCTTTTCTGGTATCTTCTTCCCTACGCCGTCGTTAACTTTCCACCGAGAGGATCCACAAATAGGACAACTCTCCAGGTTCCTATTCTCATTCCAGAATAACGCACAATCATTTTTACAAGCATGAATGCACTCATATCCTAATCCAAGATCTCGCAAAAACTTTTTAGCCTCATAATAAGAACTTGGAAGTGACTCTCTCTCCGGTAAGGCTAATTTTATCAACCTCAATAACATATCAATGGCTTTATTACTCAGTTTGTTATAAACTTTCAAATGGAGCAATTGGATGATAAAAGATGTCTTTGAGATTTTCTTACATCCTGGGTATAATTCTGCTTTGGCATCTTTCATCAATGCCTCGAGATATGTTGGAACTCCGCCTGTGTTCATATTATTGCCATTATGTGTATCAGGTTGATAATACTGCTCCCCAAGGTCAGATAACATGTCGTTAACGCCATCGTCTTCATATTCATCATGATTTTGGTGCACTGACCCAGAATGATGTTTATCTTTCACATTAGCATGCTGACTCGCTCGGTTACTTGAGATTGGTTCACCGTGATAAAACCACGTGACGTACCCTAGATCTATCCCATGCATCAAAATGTGACTTTTAACCGTCTTTTGATCTTTAAAAGATAAGTTCAAGCAGCTTGTACACGGACATCGAATCTCGCATTCTTTTCCCAAATGAGCTTCTACAAATCTCATAAAAATGTTTACCCCATCTATGTAAGCTTTTGAAAATTTTTTAGCCCGCATCCAACTCTTATCCATTCTATGTTTCTACATATAATCAACAAAAAACGCATTAGGTTTGATACATGAATTTACAAGATACCAGGGTAAATAAAAAGAAGTGAGGAACATGCATAAAATCAAAAAAATACTGTGAGCTATATTTCCACATTCTAGTTCCTTCCTCAAGA